AAAATAAATAAAATATAATAAATAAAAAAAGTTTGATATTAGTTTTAGTAATTTTTATTAATTCGTTGAAATATTCTTTTTCAAAGTAATTAAAATTTGAAAATAGACAACTTATACGATAATCAAAATAAATTCTGTATTAAATTAGCGTTGATAGGTCACAGATAAAAATGTAAAAATGTCAATTTAAAAATTAGTAGAGATACATTTCTGGCTGAAAAATGAGGTAGTATTCATTAACAGAAAAAACTTTTGAATATTACAAATTCTTCTAAAAATAATTACCTTTAACAGGTAACAATAAATTATTTTATAGATACATATAAAAGTTTAAAAAAAAATATGTTTGTAAATAAGTGTATATAAAAATATATTCATTTTTAAAGAGTATCTATAAAGAGTTATTCAGTATATGCAAATGGTTTTAAAAAAATCTGACATGATAAAACCTGTCAAATGAGATTGTTGCTTGGTTTTGGTAGGACAATATCTTTATCAAACATTTTTTTTATCGACAGTTCATTCTCTTATCTTCTGCAATTAATATATTTTGTGATATTTTTAGAAATCCGCATTGATATCACATTTTTTATTTTTATTACGTTTGATACAGTCTTATTGGCTGAAGCTTATAATTGGCTTAGCGACACAGTCGACACGATTCTCGACTGCAATTTTAGAAGTGCTAAATTGTACGATATTTTTTATCATGGTGACAGGATTATTTAGTTCCTGTCGGATAAGCGTGTGAGTTTACCTCTTTGCTATATTGAGATGTCGACCTTTTGTGATTTTAGGCATATGTATGACCTCAGGTTTGAAGTCCTGCCGAGAAGATCAGGCCTTCTATACGTGTGCGCACGTATGCGTTTGACTCATCTGCAAAATTCGGATATATGCTACGAGTCATTCGAGTGGGGGAACGAATAAGTAAATTCGGGGGATGGAGGGGGCCTAAATAAGGTATTACCAGAAGGTCCACGAATGTCCAGGTGGAGGATATATAAAGCGGAAGACGTGCATGTTAAGTCAGTGTACGAGAAGCTTCCAAGTGACAGCTAGGAAAAATAAAATATATCTTTTTTTCGACATGAATCCATTGGTGAGTTCGAGTTTTTGTACGAATACAAGACAGGTAACACAGTGAATAAAATATAAAATATTCATAGATGTGGTACTGAATTTACGATATTTTTCTAATTCAAGTGCTTTTGTAAATCGATCAAATCAGTTCGTCTCGGTCACACGATTGTAGTGAAAATTCTTTTTAGCTTTAAAATATAATCAAGAATCTTTCTTACGTATCTTTGTTATTCACAAACTATACAATTTAAAAATTTTAAATAATTAATAAGAAAAAGATTAAAGTGTATAATTGATATAATTGATACAATAAATAACTCATGTAATTTGTTTCTTATTGTTCTTATGTTTACTAAATATATTAACTGTTTTTTTAATAACATAGGAATATTTAAATCTTTAATTAAGATCTTCAAATTTTATATAGACTGTTCAATAAATTTTACAATATAATTATTAATAGCGTTTAGATAAAAATATAAAATATTTTATTAAATCATAAATATAGAATTGATTTCAATTTTTTTTATATCGGCAAAAAAATGTAATTTTATTTACTAATCCATTTTTACTTATTCATCCATTCTTCGATAGAATTTTTTAGAAAAAAGTCTTTCTTATTGTAATACAAAGATAAAGCCAAGATTTTCAAGACACGACATAAAGGATTATTATTCTTTATCTTTCCAGATAATCGCTTTATGCGCCCTCGTGGCAACGACAGTAGCCGCCCCCCTTGACGACACCACTCCAATCCCCATCCTCAAGCAAGCCTTGGACGGGCCCAACCCCGACGGCTCTTATAACTACAGCTACGAGACCGGTAATGGCATTCAGGCTCAGGAAGAGGGTCATCTCAACAATGTCGGTACCGACAGCGAAGCCCTGGAGGCACGAGGCAGCTTCAGCTTCACTGACGCCAACGGCCAGACCTATCAAATCTTATACGTGGCGAACGAGAACGGATTCCAGCCGGAGGGTGCTCATTTGCCCACCGCGCCGCCGGTACCAGCTCATATCCTAAAGGCCCTTCAGTACATCGCCGAACATCCCGAGGAGGACGAAAAGCATTAAAGGACACCGGAGAAGACCCCATGATGGAATAGAACGAGGCGAGTCAAAGATGCGAATCTTCAGGATGTAAGACGGATGTAGGACAAGGCGGATCTGATCGTTATATCGAGAATTGATGGGTACTCGATTCCTGTATAAGGCGGTCCTTTGTGTCGTCATTTTTGTATTTATGCGCGCCTCTACATGAATTTTTTAATATTCTTTTGTACAATATCTGTATACAAATAGAATCTGAATAATATATTATAAATAAACTTCATCGATGTGCAAGTCTTGTTGGATTGGAGTTTATGGTTGGTGAGATGAATATACGGAGGATAGTGTCTGGTGTATTATACATTAATGATATTTTTAACAAGGGAAGCGTTAACAAGGCATTGAGACGCTCTTGAAGTTGGGAAAAGTTCGAAGTGCGGTATGAAAACTTCTTCGTGCAAAAGCGTTATTTTTCAATCAAAAACTTCTTTATGACTCATTGTTTTGTGGAGATAAATATTATGCAACAATGATATCTTGATGATAAATAGTGATACTAATTAGCATCTTGATTTCGAATATTAATCGCATTCTTTGACATTTCAAAAATCGAATTTTTTTTATTAATAAATAAATTCAATTCTATAGATAAGATACCAAGTTAATTTGCAAGGAATATGCCATATTATTATTTAAATATATAAATATATATATATATATATAAAGAATAAGATTTACATAACTGGATTATGATAATGCGCGTAATAAAAAATAAATAAATGCAGTCTATTTATTGTAGTGATTAGCTTAAGAATAACATTGTATCTGTATAATTTGGTAAATTTGCCCAAATTTATTTAACAAAACTTATATATAGAAGAAGTAAATAGAAAAAACATATTTATCAAATAATAATCTAAATATACATCTACTTATTTATGTCAATGTGTACATACATGTATGTAATGTGTTGTGTTTGAATCTCAGATGTAGATTATTTATCTTAATTTTAGATGATAATGATAAAAAAGTGACAAAGGACAAATGTGCCTATATAAAAAAAAGGATTTGTCTTTTTACATTTCAACATGTTTCTGCATTTGATTATGAGATCATAGCGTAAACTACAAGAAAGCTACTAGAAAAGTAGAATAAGTCGTTGTTATTTGTAGAATCACCCTTTCAGTGCGGAAATGTTATAAAAGAGATGCAACTTTTGCCAAGATTTATCTATCTTAAGATTGCACTTTCGAGATCTTTTATAAAAATATAAATTTTTTATTGCAAACATCGTTTTATATAAAGTGGCAGGAAAAATAGGCAGTGATGTTGAACAGATTTAAGATTACTTTGCCAAACGCACGCGTTCAGTTTCGCTTATTCGAGGATATTCTGTATTGGCGATTGTCGCGGGGAACCGCGTTTTGTGTGGGGTTGTCCTTCTCGATCGGTTCGGGGGTGCTCGGTTGATTGGCGATCCACTCAAGAGCACGCTGGATCGCCGGAGGGATCGGCGGTGGCGTGGGGATGTGGGTGCCGGACACTTGGGTGCCAAACTCATCGGCGGTCCAGCTCATAGCGATGGGGGTGCCATCCGGAGCGTTATATTGCACCGAACCCTGAATGAGCTGCGTCTCGTCAGAGGTGCCTGCATATTTGCGGCTGCCACTTTCCCGTTGGAGTATGCCACCCTCGGTCTCATAAGAAAAGGAGTAGTGACCGCGGGTGTCGCCAAGATCACGCGAGTAGCTTACGATCTTCTCTGGCTCTTGGAAATATTGACCGTGAACGAGCCCGAAAAGAGCCGCTAATAACTGAAAAAAAGAAAAATCAATGAAATTAATATCTTTTTCTTTTATATTCGATATTAAAAAGATAATTTGTATTTTTGCAAGTTTTAAAGTGGAGTAGCAATATCAGATACTTTTATTTTGTTAAATCTTATAATATTAAAAATTATAAGTTTTACATAATGTAATATAATATAATATTTAAATATTAAATTATAATATTTAAAAGCTGGATTTATACAATCTGCGAAATAAAAAATTAATCTGTAAATTACGCGTTTTTTTCCTAATGGTCTCTGGCACGATGATTTGATCGATAAATTTTTTGCCTTGATATAATTTTCATAAGTTTTTAAAAATTTTATTTTATCAATTTGTATCCGTTCTATTAAATATTTGAAAACTGGGACTGACGCATTTCAATTTAAGCAGCTTATCCGCGAAAATGATAATCCGAGGATTTGATTAATGATTCTTCGGACATTATTACCGAGTTAATTATATCATCGTCATAAACGAATAACAGACACGATGCTGTTTTCAGACGATACCGGACGTCCTTCTCTACGGACTTGCTCATCGTTTCGAGTAATAAATACACAGAGGCCCGCGTGGTGAACATTTACAATCACACTAAATTCGCTTTCATAGACTTCTCGGAGGCGTAAAAGCCGCATAAAATGACCGAGGAAAATGATTGAGTTATCTCGCGAATATCTTAATGGGTGGATTCGTATGTGGTAATCGATGTTTCTCTTCAAGTAGGGGAAAATATTAGCGCAGTCGAGACACGTTGTCTCTAGCAGATGCTAGCGGAGTCGATGATGGTCGCACCGTCGAAGCGTGGAGAACCGGCGTCTACACACCAGGTGCTTTAATCCTCATTATGTTTGTCCCATAAAGCCGCCGCAGACACCTTTCCTCGCGAAAGGTCAGGACAAGATGAATGTATGAATGTGTTGGTAGGTAGGTCACGATTGCGATCGGTAAGGGGGATATCTCGCGCTAATGACGCCGTATTACGTTACTCACGATCGTACGTGACTTTTTCCCATAGTCTTTGATTAGCATCAGGTGACCGAAACCGATTCGATTTTGTGCCGGCTTAGTCGGAGCATTACCACCACCATTCTCTATGCAGCGCGGATTAATCGCGTTTAATATAAATGAACGCATTTCTTCGACGAATCTCATAATATTAATATTATTCATTGGAGATTAATAACCGTAATTTAAGTTTAATTGAAAATCAGCAATAAAAATGATTATAGATACAAAAATAAGATAAGATTGTTTTCAACCTCTCAAAAAATTATTTAAATATTCCATAATTTATTTATTTATTCATATTTGTTTTTAATTATATTTTGTGTTTTCAACAATCTAATACGATTTTCATCCGCTCTTTTAATACGTTGATGTGTGAATGACTTACATGGAAAATTGACAGGTTTCATAATAAATATTGTTATGCATATACACACACATACACACACACACACACACACACACACACACACACACGCGCACGCACGCACGCACGCACGCACGCACGCACGCACGCACGCACGCACGCACGCACGCACGCACGCGACGC